ACGAGTAGACAAAACTAGTTTTTGGTTGTCTACGAGGTTTGTAATTCCCGAATCAGGGTCTGGAGTCCGGAGGTTTCAAAGTGATTTGGTCGGAAATAGTCTGTAACCCTGTGCCCAGGTCTTACGTGGCCAAGGCCCTAAGCCTGATTTTTCTGTCTGCTGCTGTCTGACCCTGACCTGTTAATAGACCATGCCTTTGCTTGCTGCCTGTACTGACCCTGGCCTGTTTGTGGACCATGTTCCTGCCTGTAACATGGACCAGTACTTTGGCTGTGCTAACCATGTCTCTGCCTGCTTCCTGTACTGACACTACACTGAGTATGGACCATGTTCCCGCCTGCTGCCAGGATCAATACTTCGGCTGTGCTGACCATATCTCTACGTGATGTCTGTACTGATCCTGAACTGTTTATGGACACATACTCCTGCCTGCTACCTGGATGATTCCTCTGACTTTTGGTGACCATGTCTTTGCCTGTTACTTGGACCAGTGCTCTCTTCTGTGGACAACTACACTACTAAAACCAAAAATAATCTTTTGTTTATCCTTTGTTTTGCTTCCTGTACTTCCTGGCCAGTGAAGAGACCATTGTGTTTTGGGGCAGCCACGTACCAGTAGGTTAGGCTTACTTGGCTTTTAGGAAAAGGAACTGCTGTAGGTGAAGCCAAGCTATGTTGTATTCACTGACCACTCTTACAGAGGCAACCATTACAGTACATTTACAGTGTTGGTTGATTTTTGTGTTACACAGGTTGCAATGCTGGGTACATAATCAGTCCAGACATCGAAAAGGTCTTGCACATGTGGTATCCCCTTACACGGGAGGAGTAGCAGAATGTATTTTGGGGTGTAATTCTAAGTATGTCCATGCTGTTTATTAGAAAAATCTTATGGATTGAAACTATCCTTAATCTGTCTCTACTGACAAAGTAGGGGCAGACTGAGTTTCCTCTCTCTTTTTTTTTTTCCAATCATGTGACCACTGTGACGGCGTTGTGCACAAGTCGATCTATTGTTCAACTTGTGTACAACCAGCCTCTCAGGTTTTTCCCAAACAATTATTGCCGCTGGCTATAGCCGGCTACACTAATCATTGTGTTCTGCTGGCAGGGAAGGCTTCCTTGACTCATGATTGCAATTTAGTTTACAACTGATAACAAGATCTGCGAACAGAATACGGCAAAAACTTGGAAGCGTGGTTGCTGTGTCATGTGGTTTCCCGCAGTCAGCGGTCAAAATGTTCCTATCTTGAATGTGATTCTTTCGCATTCAGGAGAGGGAGGTTTAACCTCACCTAAACGCGGCAGCTCCTAAACTCTGCTAAACGCCTATGTGTACATGGACAGATAGGCTTTTATGGAGTTGAGTTTAGGAGCTTTGGCAAAAAAATACCAAAAGCTCCTAAACTCGAGTTTAGCAGCTACTCGTGTACATGAAGCCTAATATTGCATACCAGGAGGGTTTTGAAGTTTTCCAAAAAGAGCTAGTAAAACTGCATGCAGCATCTGTTATTTGTTTAAGTTATATGACTTGACTGGAAAAATATATATATATATATATACATATTCTTCTACTCAATATACTGTATATTCCTTACAATATGTATGTATTTTATAAGAAAGGTGCTATATAGATATGTAAGCTTTGATATCTTTGGATGCTATATTCAAATGCAGAGCTTTGGCTGTAGACAATCATATTGGCTTTTAAATCAATTCTCTGTACATTATAGTTCCATTGGCTCTCAAAAGCAGAACTGCTGCCAGAGGAAGCTGTAAGCATTAGTGTAAGTCAATAATTGCTATTAGTATCCACCAATGAAGAGACCTTGTCAGGACCTCCCTATCCTTTAATGCTGGATGCTAATGGCAGATATTCATTGTACTCATGGTAGCCTTTGTCCTAAAGGCAAACACAACCAAGTGGTCCTTTCATGGTAAGGACAGTGAAAGGAACTGCCATTATACTATACCTTTCCTGTCTCCTTTTCAAATCTGCTGGCCTTGCCTTTCAGAAATGTCTGCCTAAATCAGGCCCCTGCATATAACACCCTTAGCTTGCTCTTCACTCCTTGCTTTAGCACCTTCCTATATTTTTACCTAGAGCATCAAGTTTATCCTAGGAAGGGAGGAGTACCCATTTCTGAGTGCTCTCAAGTCTTGGCTTAGCCTAAAGTTACGGAAGTTACAGTATTTTCCAGTAACAAACTGAAACCAGGATGACATAGGCTTACCTAGTTAACAAAGGTAATAGAATCTTGTGGTCCCTACTCTCAAGATCCTGGTTTCTATTCCCAAGATGTAATTCCTTAGGATCTGCACTCTGTTCATTAAGTTTGCAGTTACGCCACGCTCTGAGAGCCGGAGCCAGCTGTCAATCAGTAAGCTGGATGGATCCCGACAAAATGGTCAAGATCTTTGCAGAGACAGAAACAGCTCTGTGTGATGTTGGCCAACAGTGGACTTCAGCCTGTTGTCGGCTGATTCTAGGTCACAGGAGACCACAAGTATGTGAACTTCTGTGACTCAAAGGAGAAGTATGGCCAAAAAAACTTAGGCCATACTTCTCTTTTTAAAAAGCTGCCTAAATGCCACTTAAACACAAGGTATTGACACATTTTTGAAAGAGCCCCTTGGCATACGGTTCAGGACTGTAATTCCTGTAATGCTGCTTCAACTGTGTGATATAATGTATATATGGAATTTTCTCGATCCATTTAATAATAAAATACAGATTAAAAAAAAATGTTTAATCTGCTGGCAGGTTCCCTTTATTGTCAGTGTGAGTTAATTCATACTGCGTGCTCCATAAACCTTTCTCAAACCCAGCTCTCATAAAACTGGCTTATGTCACAGATGTAACTAAATGTGTTCATTTCTCATATTGGTTGGATACACCCAACCTTGCCCTTATGACTGTTCATTTATTGTTCTAGTATAGAAAATAATACAAGGTGACACTCAAGTACATGTCAAGGTTCATGCTGCATATTGTAATATTGTAATTCTAACAAAACATAAAGCTTGTTACAATCATTGACACATTGCCATATCAAGTCACATATCCAGAAATATGATACAAATAAAAGGAAACATGTAATTGTTTTAAATCATTTTACATCTAAAAGGTAAAAAATGGCCAACTTTGTTTACATATTATTATTGTTTTTTGTGGAAGTCCTGTCTATAGATTTGGAGATATACTGTATATTGTAGATTAAAGCAGTTGTGATGATTACATATTCAGATTTGTGCTTCCTGCTTAGGCAGGCCATATATTGACCAATTTTCTTTCCTTCAAGCATTGTATTCTGACAGCAGGTGGCTTCCCAGCCATCAGAATACAATGATCACTGCTCCTGGCTATAGCTGCTGGCAGTGATTGAACAAAAAAAACTGACAGGCTGGTTGTACTTAAGTATATATATTGATACAACCATCCTGCCTATAAATGGATCAAAATTCGTCCGGTTCCTGCTTAACCGGCTGAATTAAAATCTGTCTATGGCCGGATTTAGTGATACTGCTGAGTGATTGTAGGTTACACATTCTCTCATTCAGTGAAAGTCAACCAGCTTGTTCAGATTAGTTGATATGAATGGAAACTAAGCACTATTTTATGGGGTTTATATGTTCTGTGTTCTCCTTGCATTTTTTTGTGTTTTTTCCAGGTATTCCAGTTTCCCCTCACAACACAGACGTACTAGTAAACTAACTCATGTCCAACTAAATTGCTTGGGAACAGGAGCTAAAATAAATGTGTGCACCTTGTGTGTAATATGCAGCAGTTTAATTAGTTGTAGCCCTTAGGTGTGCTGCATATCCCCCCAAAGAGCTTTACAGAAGTACACAGACTGTACGTGGCTTGCCCTGCTCAACACTTTCTGCCAAACTGAACAGCTACAGATGTCAAAATGTGAGGGTTTGAACAGTGTTTGTAAACATTGTTCAGGAACGATAGTCAGGAAATTCAATTTTACAATGTTACTACTTTGTATTTACTCCGAATCATTTATATGGAGATCAAATATGTAATCGTTGATCTGTTCATAGTGTCAGTTAAGAAAAAAAGTATTATTTCTATTAATATTTAAATGTTTTTATTTCATTCACTGGTTATTCTTTTAGTGGTGCATTTAAAATGCACAGAATTGAAAAAAAGTCTGTTCATTTGTAAATAACTTTTCAATACTTTGCACTGTAATTATAGTGTCATTATAAAGTGGAAAAAATTTAGAATACAATTTTATGCATTTTTTTATGAATTCACATTGAAGTAAAAACTGACACAGGTCCAATTAAGAAAAAATGTTTTTTATTAGTTTTTAAGCTTTCCTTTAGTTTTTGTATGATTGTTATTTATGGATTGCATAGGAAATAAAAATAATTTTTCAAGACACTATCACCAAAGGAAACCCTTTTTATTTCCCTGAATAACACAACATACACTAGATTGCCAAAAGTATTAGGATGTCTGCCTTTACACGCACATGAACTTTAATGGCATCCCAGTCTTAGTCCATGGGATTCAATATTGAGTTGGCCAACCCTTTGCAGCTATAACAGCTTCAAATCTTCTGGGAAGGCTGTCCACAAGGTTTAGGAGAGTGTCTATGGGAATGTTTGACCATTCTTCCAGAAGTGCATTTGTGAAGTCAGGCACTGATGTTGGACGAGAAGGCCTGGCTCCCAGTCTCCACTCTAATTCATCCCAAAGGTGTTCTATCGGGTTGAGGTCAGGACTCTGTGCAGGCCAGTCAAGTTCCTCCACCCCAAACTTGCTCATCCATGTCTTTATGGACATTGCTTTGTGCATTGGTGCCAGTCATGTTGGCATAGGAAGGGGCCATTCCCAAACTGTTCCCACAAAGTTGGGAGCATGAAATTGTCCAAAATGTCTTGGTATGTTGACGCCTTAAGAGTTCCCTTCACTGGAACTAAGGGGCCAAGCCCATCTCATGAAAAACAAACTCCCACCATAATCCCCCCTCCACCAAACCTTACACTTAGTACAATGCAGTCAGGCAAGTACCGTTCTCCTGGAAACCGTCAAACACAGACAAGTCCATCGGATTGCCAGACAGAGAAGCATGATTTGTCACTCCAGAGAACACGTCTCCATTGCTCTATAGAATCCAGTGGCGGGGTGGTTTATACCACTGCATCCGAAGCTTCGCATTGCACTTGGTGATGTAAGACTTGGAATGCAGCTGCTCAGCCATGGAAACGCATTCCATGAAGCTCTCTATGCACTGTTGTTGTGCTAATCTGAAGGCCACATGAAGTTTGGAGGTCTTTAGCTATTGACTCTGCAGACAGTTGGCAACTTCTGCGCACTGTGCCCTTCAGCATGTGCTGACCCCGCTCTGTCATTTTACGTGGCCTACCACTTAGTAGCTGAGTGGCTGTTGTACCCAGTTGCTTCCACTTTGTTATAATACCAATCACAGTTAGCCGTGGAATATTTAGTAGCAAGGAAATTTCACGGATGGACTTATTGCACAGGTGGCAACCTATCACAGTACCACGCTTGAATTCACTGAGCTCCTGAGAGCGACCCATTCTTTCACAAATGTTTGTAGAAGCAGTCTGCATGCCTAGGTGCTTGATTTTATACACCTGTGGCCATGGAGGTGATTGGAACACCTGAATCCAATGATTTGGAGGGTGTCCCAATACTTTTGGAAATATAGTGTATGTATCGCTATGATATCTTAAGTAATGACAAAGTTACCACAGAATAAACAGGCCCATGGTAGAAATGTAAAAACTGCTCTGGGTCTTGTAGGTGCAAGAGCTGTTAAAATAATAAATAATAAATTTCACTATTTATTGTTATTGGTTTAAAAAAAAAAACACATACAGGAGAATTCATAAAAAGTGTCTGCAAAACAAAATTCCATTGTGACATTCCGTCCTCAGTGCAGCTAAGCTTCCACCTGCTGCTGCAGCTGTCACCCAGACAGTGCAGCAGTCAAGGCTTTTTTTGTATAATAAGTATTAAGTGTTTTGTATAACACAAAGAACAATAAAGTAAATTTGGAAAAAGAAAATAGGTATAGCAATAGTCAATTATTCATATATAGCATACAGAGATATTCATTTTCCAACATACAATATGTATAACAGCAGTCATAACCACATGTCAAGACTACAGGTACAATAACACAAGATGGTTCCAAATGTATAGGTACAAACTAAAGTTGCATCTCAGAGTGTTATACCATACTGCAGATGGTAATACATATACCTGACAACAGGGGTGGACTGACAACTCATGGGGGGCCCCCGCCAATAGGGGATCATGGGGCCCCTGTGTCCTCGCCCACACTCAAACCACACCTAAAAAAAAAAGTATAAAAGGTACCAGGAGCAGTTAATGGGGCCCACTACTGACCCCGGGCCCTCGGGCAGTGCCCGAGTGCTTGAATGGTCAGTCCGCCCCTGCCTGACAACCATATGAGGTGAGTAACTCATTAGAAAAAAAAAATAAAAGATGTAACTGGAACATATCTTAGAGAACACATCCTGATATGTAGAGGTTAATGTGCCAATGTGTGTATTAGGCCCCATGCACACTAGGATTTTGTTTAGCTCAAAAAACGCTGGATAAAAACATGGTAATAGCGTTTTTAGTAGCATTTTATTAGTATTTAGGAGTGTGACGGAAGCGTAGGCAGGACACACAAAGAAGATGATGAACACTCAAAGATTTATTGAACTATGGAAGGCACTCAATCAAGGTAGGAAGGTAGCGTCCAGGTACCCAAAAAGGGGAAGAGAGGGAAGGAGCCCAAAATAATGATAATCCAGCCCGCGATAGTGCAATCTAGGTAGTGATGGCCCAAGCACTCGGTGGGTGGGGGGCAGTCCAGGCAGCAGTAGACCGGGCACTCAATGGGGGGCAGTTCAGGGCACTCCGCAACATGCGGCTTGTAGGGGCACTCACGGTAGGCAGCTTGCAGACAGAGATGACCAGCGATCAGCAGACAGGGACGACCAGCGATCAGCAGACAGGGACGACCAGGGATCAGCAGACAGGGACCCGATAGGCAGCTTGCAGACACTCAGCAGCATGCGGCTTCCAGGGACACTCATGATAGGCGGCTTGCAGACACTCAGCAGCAGGCGGCTTCCAGGGACACTCACGGTAGGTGGCTTGCAGACACTCAGCAGCAGGTGGCTTGCAGACAGGGATGACCAGCGTTCAGCAGACAGGGACGACCAGCGATCAGCAGAAAGGGACCCGATAGGTGGCTTGCAGACACTCAGCAGCAGGTGGCTTCCAGGGACACTCACGATAGGCGGCTTGCAGACACTCAGCAGCAGGCGGCTTGCAGACAGGGACGACCAGCGATCAGAAGTGAAGGACGACCAGCGATCAGCAGACAGGGAACAACACAGCGGTCAGCAGGGGACACAGCAGGCTTCAGCAGGTAGGGACACAGCAGGATTGCAGGGGCTCGGCAAGGTCTTGACTGTGGGGTCTGGCCTCAGCAGACCCTGCACAGTACTCTCTCCCGAGCGGGGGACAGACAGCATACAGCCATGGACGGGGGCACGTTGGGTCCTGCGCCAGCCTTTTTAAGCCGCCCAGGACGCTTCCTGGTTGCCCCGGCAATGGCCAGCCCAGTGTCAGGTTGCCAGGGCAACGAGGCACGCCCCCTCACTCGGGCCGTGCTGAGGGAGCGCGGTCTTTGTCTCCGGTGGGCGCAGAGAGTGGGAATTCATGTGCCCGCGCTGTGCCCCCCGGGGGGCACGCAGAGATGCCTTGGTGGCCCTTTGCTGGGGATACTTGGTGGGGGGCCCAAGACGTTTCCTCCCGTCCTGCACAGTCCTTTGATGTAGGCTAAGGCAAGGGCAAGGGGGAGGGGGGGTGAAGGGATACGTCAGAGGGACAGCAGGCAAAGGGGGGTGGGGAAGGCACGGGCACTTCATGACAAGGAGTGTCAGCATTTTTATTAACATTTTTACAGTACTTGTAGGGAAAAAAAAGATTGGATAATTTTAGTAGAGTTTAGTAGCATTTCTGAGGTTCAGCATTTTTTTTCTACTGGCAAATGGATACCAAAGATGCAAAAAAAAAAAAAGTGTTTTTTTTTTTCTGCTCCTAAAAGGTGAAGCTTGAAAAACGCTTCTAGCCTACAGTGTGTATGGACACATAGGATAACACTATTTTCTTCTACGAGCAGAAAAAAAATGCTTATAACTAGCAGTTAGGAGCTTAAAAATAAGCTAGTGTTCACCTTGCGGGTATGTCCCGTTGTATTGTTTGATTGGCTATTGTTTAGGATTTGCTTTTCTTCTTTGCCCCCCCTTTCCTCCCCCAACTCCCCCACCCTTCCCTCCCCTCCTCTTCCCCTTTCTCCCTCCCCCCCCCCTTCTTCTTATTTTCTCTGCTCTTTTCTTTTTACGCTCCAGTTCCCGCCCTTAGATTTTCTTCCTTACTTTTATTTGGTGGGTAATAGCCATCTACATTGTAATATGTATATTTTACCGGACCTGACTCAGGATGACTGATTGAATCTGTATGATTGTTAGCCTTGGAATCTCACGTATATTATATTTCTACTGAATTCAATAAGCTTGATTTGTCATACTTTTGTACAATTTCAATAAACGCAACTGGTAAAAAAAAAAAAGCTAGTGTGCATGGAGCCTTACAAGTATTATATATCCATTTAGCAGAAGATGTTAGGTTCGGATCAAAGAAAAAATATCTTCCCAAGAGATGATATAAGGAGGTGAAGCTCAGATGGTCATCTATATTGTAACTACCATTAAATTTATCACTCTCAAATGAGTAATGCATCCAGCCAGACCAGATGTCACAGAACTTAACTTCTTTCTTTTTAGCTGCTAGAAATCCATCTCTTTGCTTCCATAATCCTTTCCACTTTCTGTTTCCCATCCAGTGAGATAGGGCAGTGGGTTTGTTTCCAGAATTTAGGTATGAGACTTTAGCAGCATTCAAAGATGTGGTGTGACACTATATTTATAAGATTTCAGAGAGAAGGGGGGCATGGATTAAATAGCGAAGGGGGGTCAGTCTAACAGGCTTGAGTGTACATTTTTGGATCTATGTCGAAATATCCATACAGAATTTTTGGATCTTAGGGCAATACCACCATAAATGTAAGTATGTGCCCTCTTGGGAGCACCCTCTCCAGCACTTGGGATCCAACCCAGGGAAAATCCTTGCTAATCACTTAGGTGTTTGAAAAAAATGTATAACAGATTCTTGGGTCTTAGAGCTTATTGAAGAGACATGAGAGAGTTGTATCATTTTTTTTTGCAAGTGAGGGTTGTGAGTAAGTACCTGTATGTTTCCGATAAGAGATATGTAGAATCATCACTAAGGGAGCATATAGATTCAAATGTAGTGAAGGAGTCAGAGGCGTGTGAGTTTGGGACAAGTTTCTGAGGAAAGTCACTCGCTTGTCTGTGACTCCAAGCATTCATAGGGAATCTACTATATGTCTGTCTAATCTGCTCTAAAGGTAGAAGAAATGCTGTCAGAACTAGCTTGGAGCAACTCATATTTCCATTGCTAACCCATGTTTATAAAAAATGTATAGTTGTAACAATGTAGTGTAACCTATATAATACAACACAACAAGTGAAATAACTCAAAAGCTCAAACAAAAAAGTCCAAAACCAAATATCCTCGTGCTTCCCTTCACCAATACAGTCCACTATCTTTGACTTAGTCAACTGTGTCTGGCATGCAATCACCTCTTGTGAACAGTATGCTCACCTCCAGTATTGACTCCGATTGCAAGTCGAGGTTCAAATGTGCTTTTGACCGCTCAATGGCCACAAAACAGATGGCTCATGCAAAAAGAACAGGGACTAATAGCGCTCGCTATACATTTAAAAGCATTTAATCATATCTTTAAAAATGACTCACAAAAAAGTTCACACACAGAGCCTGGCACAGCGCATGACAAAATATAGGCAGCTCCCCTGTCACCACAGACTCTGCAGACCAGATCATTTTCTTCCCCAAAAATGTCTCATGGTTTCCTCCATATACAGCCAGTCCATCCTGTCAAAAGCCTTCTAGGCTTCCATGGTTAGTATTAAGGAGGGAGGTTGGTCTGGGCCATAGTGGGTCCAAAGAAGGATGTTAGGAGCACCAAGGGTACGTGCACACTGGACGGTTAAAACAACTGCTCCTGACGTTTGTTTCTGGAAGCACATATAGTGTTTGACACTGGTAAACGTGTTTACCCGCTCCAAGAACTTGGGCGTTTATTCATTTAATTGGTCAGAATAAACAATTTATTCTGAACATTGAAATGAAATGAAAAATGCGTTTATCATTTTTCTGTCAAAACTCTCCTCTCCTGAACACGATTCTCCTGCGTTAAGGAAAGAAGAATTTTTATTGCCTCTATGCGCTGCTGCGCCTAAACTCTGGTAGAAGCCTATGTGTGCATGGACACACAGGCTTTTACTGAGTTGAACTCAGGGCTTTTGGCAAAAAAACACCAAAACCTCCTAAATGTGAGTTTAGGAGTAGCAGTGTGCATGAGGCCTAATTGTGGTTTCCTGGGCCTCCCTGCTATAAAACCTGTCTGGTCAGAGTGTATCACACA